AAAGATAATTCCTTCTAAATGAAATCTGGGCAAGTAATTATTTCCTGTGACAAGGGAAGTTTTGAATTGAGGCAAATGAATTATGTTACATATCCTAACAGTAACCCCTCCTATCCCTGATTTGTTTCTCATTCTCATTAACCTCTCACCATATATATTGTTGGTTATTGTTGCTGTGTGGCTGTAAATTAGTTATTATAGATAGTAATATCTAGGAAAGAGATTTTCAGAAACACAAATTATATCTAAGTCCCTGTTTCCATTCTACTGATCGGATGACTTGATTGGAGCTCTGTTCTGATGCTAAATTCCTTTATAGGAAGGTAAGTGTACCATCATCTTGAAATAAGTATAAATCCAGGTATTCGACAAGGAAGGGGTATAAAGGACCCATGGACGAAGCCAAGGGGAGAAGGATTGAGGGTGTGAAGTGGGGGTGAGTAGAGTCAGGGAAAGTGGTGGCAGGAAAGTAAAGACAACTGTACTTGAACAATTATTTTTAAAAATGCAAAAATAAATAAAAAGTACGGAGTTTTATTTACAGCAATATATACTGATTATTTCTGTGATGAGAACAAAATTCGGGCCTGTGTCACATTCAGATTTTAAGATCATTAAACAATGTAATCCAGGAAAGACAAATAAAATGGAACCGAAGGGATTGCATTTATAGGACACTTTTAAAGCAGAAAAAACTCTGACCTTTTATATTGTTAATTCTAAGCATCCAAACTGAATTTTAGTGAAGACATAAATCAGAGTCTGTAGAGGCTATGAGAATGCAAAATGGCTTATGGGACGAGGAAATAAAAACAGAACGAGAAAACAAACACTCTTCCTACATTTGGTAATGGTAGCTATACTTGTTTTTTCTTAATGATGAAAGCGAGCAGCTTGAGGTTCAGCCCCTGGGTGTCCCTACACTTATCACACCCGCTGGGGGTGTCAGAGCACCCCCAGGCCCTTCTGTAATTGTCTAGAATATGCTAAGTCTCTGTGACCAAGTTGTGTTTCATCCTTTCTATGGTCAGATCAGCTTGTCTGTAATGAACCTGAATATATTCCAGCTACAAATGTTGGTAACTTTCCTGGGTCAAGGCAGTGAGTCTTCTATTTGAAAGTCGTTTTTTAAGAAATGGAGCATCTGTTTGAATTCATTGGGAATTGCTTCTTTTACTTTTATCAGGTTTACAGTAGATATCGACAAATTGTGGTCATTTTCACCTTTTATATTTTGTGGAAAGAATGTTATCTTTTTCAGATGTCATGGGAGAAATATAAAACATTTTTCAACATTCATTCATTCATTCATTCATTCATTGTCTATAGAGCATGCTAAGATTACTCTGAGATCAAGATACCTAGTGGTTAGAAAGGGACAGTCTACTTCCTATTTCATTTCACATATTCTAATAGTTTTTGTTACAGGAGAAACACATGGGACAGAGGGGACCCCCTTAGAGTTCTGCCAAGGGCAGTTTTTATTTCTGATATGAACGTGTCATGTTCTATTTTCAGAGCCTCTTTTGTCATGGTAAATAGACGTTAAATTAGCATCCCAGTATAATGCAAATTTTCCCCCTCTGTGTTTATAGAATTACTGACGGTAAAGAAGGGGCACAAGTACTGTTCCCTCCACTCCACCAGCTTCATTGCGGTGGAAAATAAAGGACACATATTACGCACATTAACTTGGTACAGAAGCAGTTCCACAGGCATGCGGCGTACCATCACAACAGCCCTGGACTTCGTTTAATGCTCTGCTGTCACCATTTTGGAACTCTTAATAATTTATGAACAAGAGGCCCTGCATTTTCATTTTACAATGAGCCCTGCTAATTATTTTGTGGGTCCTGCCCGTGTAACACTTGTTCTTTCTGGCTGTGTTGGTCTGTCGTCACCTCCAATTGTACACTGTCAACATGTCAACTCTCTCTTCAAATCAAAGAAATAAGCAAATAAACTTTTGTTGTTGTTAACTAAATGTGTTTTGCATTAACCTCTAAAGTACTGTTTCCTTTGGCAAGTTTATGACATTGGTTTTTAATAAAGCTGTGAAAAGTATCCAAGTGGATTTCCCATAACACAGTTCTTTGTTTTGTTTTCAGCTAATTAATTCAAGTTAGTAGTTTGGACTTTATGCTTGTTTTTACTTTATTTTTATTTTTTTTATAGTTATTCCTTGAGCATACTACCTGGCTTATGTTTATTTAAAGTAAAATTTGAGAAAAAATTTAAATTGAAATGTACTTTTCCATTTTTACCGTGGATAGTAAGCAGCTTTTTGCCCAAGCTTTAATCTAGCTTTAAGATATAAATTGAGGCATTTACTTTGGAAGCAAATGCTGTTGTGGTTAAGTAAAATATTTCACCAGGAAATGTATGGAATTAAAAATTATGGCATTCACCTCTAGCTGGTATGGCTCAGTGGATTGAGCACCAGCCTATGAACTAGAAGGGTGAAGGTTCAATTCCTGGGCAAGGCACAAGCCTGGGTTGAGGGCTGGGTCCCCTGTTGGGAGTGTGTGGGAGTCAACTTATAAATGTTTCTCTTGCCCGTGTTTCTCACCCTCTCTTTGTCCCTCCCTTCCCTTCTCTCTAAAAATAAGTAAATAGTTTTTTTTTTTTTAATTATGGAACTCAAAATCATACTATTAATGACTTTTGGGCTTTGGGGCCACCCAATATGTTCAGTCCAGGGGTCTTCTTTGTGCCTTTAAGACAAATGGAGTTTCCATTTGTCTTAAGAGAAGTGCTGAGTGTTTGCTCATTGGCTTTTAAAGCTGGGTCCCAAAACTTGACTCTTTACTCATGTTGAAAGGAAAATTCAAAGGGCCATGTTTCTTTGTTCTCATCCAAGCCCACAATTAGCTGAAGTTCCATTCTGTGTAGCTAGAAGGAGGAGGAAAGGGGTGGCCCAGCAGGCATTTTACTGCTGATGAGAAAGTGCTCCTCTAAGTTTCTTTGTCCTTTTTGTCAGGGATGGCTGCCTCCCTAATTGTACTGCTGTAGGGAAGCGCGTGCCTCTGGGAGCATTATCTGATTCCCACAGGACTCAGAAGTGCTTTGTATATTGACCCTTAACTTGAACACAAATATCTTTTCAATCCCCTTCTCAGGCACTTGCCACATGCTTGGAAACCTAACAACTTTAATGTAGCTAGGGGTGTGGATGCATTTGTATGGGCCTCAGGGTCGGTTTGTTTGTTTGTCTGTTTTTTCCCCTCTAGTTTTCTTACCTACATTTTTGCTGCACTTGTCAATTGGAGAAGCTGAAGGTGGAGGAGAGGAGAGGCATAGGAGCCGTAGAAGTCACAGGGGAGAGAAGCCGAGACAAACAGCTGCTCTTGTCAGCATGGGGATAAGTGTAAAGAGATTAATAGTTATTTGAAGAGCAAATGGGAACGTGGCATTCAGCAGTGGAATGCGAATGTATAAATGTAATGGAACGAGCAGGCGACCGTTAACATTTAGACAGATGCTCTCTGGACTGAATGGAATGGCAGAGTTCGTTTCTTCTCCCCACGTGAAATGAAATACATAAGGCTTAGTAAAATATTTTTATTAAACAGTAGGTTTAATTCATTTTTTAAAAGCATCCATTTCTTTGTGAGCTTTTTCTTCTCTTTTTCTTTGCTTAGTCTGAGGCTCAGAGTCACACAGGGTGGAACAAAAGTAGATTTACAGTTGTGAGTATGTGAAACACAGTTTATTCTTGATTAATTATCAAATTGTCTATATGAGCAACTGTAAACCTTCTCTGTCCTACCCTGTATTTCAACTGAAGGGCCAGACAACTCACTTCTTGATAAAAGAGGTACCACAGTACCACAGACCTGCTACCTTTTTCTTCTTGCTTTCGGTTTGGTCTCCCTCTGTTAACTGGTGGAATCAATGAGGTTTCCACATGTCAGAAGGTTTCACAGAGGGAAAACTGTGCAATAGGCCCCCTTCTGGAAATGTGTCTGATTTGACTCAGGTTTAGGAATGACTTGAATTATCTGATCAGGCTAACAGCTGTGATGGCCTGGGCCGGGCCCTGGGCTCTGAACCGGGAGGTTACATTTCGGAATGTCCATTTTTTGCTTATTAGTCAATGCCTAAGCAAATTGCTTCCCTTCTCTGATAACAATATCATAAAAATGTTTTACAGATTAAATAAGAGATTAGTTCATTGTTTCCATAAACATCTTATTGACTACCTCCTCTGTGCTTAGCTCTGTTCACATAAAGGCATCTGCCAGAAGAGCTACATGAGCTGATGTACTTCTGAATTATATTGAATATAGGATATTAGCCACAACTATGTGGTATTGCTTACACATATTCCATTCTAGAAAAGAGTAAACTGCTAGAAAATTAAAGAACAGATTAAAAATTAGGTTGTGTTTGGAATGCTATATTGCCATGTTACCTTTTAAAATATACAGCTGGCTCTCTAATCCTGCTACCCATGCCCCTCCAGTCTTTATGGAACTAGCCCATGGGGGGAACTCGGGATACCCTGGGACAGAATTTAGAGTTATAAAACTATATAATGTTTATGTCTCATATACCATTATTTGATGCTTAAATCCCCTCAAGAACACGTCTACCCAATGGTCTCTTTCTGAACAGCATGGCAGAAGAGAAAGAAAAAAAAAAGGGGGAGAATAGGAGGTATTCATTTATTTTAAGGAATTCTTAGGCAGCTACTCAGGACTGGGCACTTTTTGCCCTGTTTGTAAATAAGAACATATTCTATTTTCAAATGCACTTGGAAAGACCACAATATCCAAAGGCTGTATATAGGAGCTGTGTGATCTGTGCAGGTCATTACAACACCCAGGCATGCCTGAGACTTCTCTCGTTTCTAATTGTGCAATGCCAATTGGTCATTTTACCTCAATTGTTAGGGAACTGAGGTCGAACTCTGGAATGCGTGTACCAAATGATACCTTTTCAGGAACAATGATCTGCAGTATAACTGGCTAACACTGGGGTTTCTGGGTGTTCTACAGCCACAGTATACAAACCTGGGGCTCCTGAACAGCATGGACCAGCAGATTCAGAACGGCTCCTCATCTACCAGCCCTTACAACACAGACCATGCGCAGAACAGCGTCACGGCGCCCTCGCCTTATGCACAGCCCAGTTCTACCTTTGACGCCCTCTCGCCATCGCCTGCCATCCCGTCCAACACTGACTACCCAGGTCCGCACAGCTTCGACGTGTCCTTCCAACAGTCCAGCACAGCCAAGTCGGCCACCTGGACGGTAAGAGCACCAAGAACCAACAGACAGGCCATTAAACCTGACCTCAGGTACAAGGGCCGTCTTTAACACCATCTCCCTGCCCCCAAAAGATTTCTCTCCCATCAAAGCTGAGAGATCCGTATTGAATGTTGGAAAATTTCTCCCTGTCCTCTGAGGACATTTTGTTTTTGAATCTTTAACACTGAATCAGAGAGACACAAAGTGCCACTTAGTGGGAAAAGCCTCGATCTGGGAACCAAAGCCTTGTATTCTGGCTGGCTCCTAGCAGCTTCAGCCGATGTGTTTGTTCTTGCCTGACTCGTGCTGCTGGGAAGTCCTTTGCGTGAAAGTTTTTTGAAAAATGTAAAGCGTTATGCCAACAAGAATTATCATAATCATAGGATACATGTTTGCAGTCCCCAGAATGTAGGATGGTTACCAGTTTCATTATTTTGAAAAAGTAAACATTAAAGTGTGATTAAAGAAATAAAGAGTAAAGTCATAAACACAGCATCTGTAACAAGAAATTGAAGCCTCATTATCAAGGAAGGCCTACAGTTGTTTATACATGTAGGTTCTATAGCATGAATTATACTATATTGATACATATATTTATTACTTAGAAACTCCCCTCCCCCCAAAAAAAACCCTCTAAAACTGTATATCAGAGTCCTGAATCAGTCCAAAAATATTGTTTTAAAAAAGTTTCTGTATATAACTTTTCTAAGAAAACATGGAAATATTTTCAAAAATTCAAAAGGTACATGAATGTTTAAAGTTTATTTTATAATAGATTACAGTATGAGTAAGACAAAATATAAGGGAGGGGACATATAAGACTAGTTTTAACTGATCAAAGAATGCCCAAGACCAAAGTGGCATGCGTGTTTTTCAAACAACTTAATGTTTTCATGCATTATAGAAATGCTTCCAAATATTGTCATCTTTTGAGAAGTAGCTTTAAAATTATTTTAGCAGGCCCTCCCCCTGCCATCGTTGGCAAATAGGTCTCTTTGGAAAGCATCCTCTTTTTGTGTTATAGTATCTAGCTCACTACAGGCTTTAATCCAATTGAAAAGTGTTTATGAAATAATCTGCATTTGTAACACTGCATTCCAACATAGTTTTACACATGCTCTCATTTTGACCTCATGTCTTTGTGGACTAGGTAGGGCACGTTTTATAACTCCCATTTTACTAGTGAGGAAAGCTGAAAAATGTGGAGGTCAGGTGAGTTCCTTAAGTTACAGAGGCTTTTGTGTAACTGGACCTATTTCTGATTCTGCTCTTCCCCACCAAACTGTGTCCTTTCTTTTTTCACCATTTCACTTCAGGATGTCCCAAGATCATCTAAAAATGTATGTGAGTGCTTTTCTTTCATGGTTTGAGAAGCGGTTCTGTCATGGTTCACATTTCAACCATGATGTCTAAGTATTAGCTTAAAACTTGATCTCTCCTTCATGTGTTATTTATCAATTGCGTCATACTCTTTAGTCTCTTTTATAGTAATAATCCTGGAGATGGACACTAAAGGTGAGTAAACATAGAGTCTATAGGCCTCAAATAAATATGGGTTGATCAGTCAAAGTGATCTCTTGAAAAAGAACCAAATAAGAATGTCATAAATAGAGCCTTGATGTGTTTTAGAATAAGTGTCACCAGTTGGACACTTATAATCACTGTTGTTCAAGACTTTCTTGTTTTGTATACTCAGGCAGAGTCCCACTATATTAAAAGTGAGTGTTTCTGAAGAGATGATGGGTAGATTGGGGCCACTAAATGATTAATCATTTCTCCTTTAAAATGATTTAAGAACTATAGGGATGGAGGTTGATACAGGTACAATATTATATCAGTTTTCCTCACTCTCTCCTTCCTCACTGCTTCCTTATTTAGATATCTCAGGTTTTTTTGTGAGGGGGGTGGTTCAGATTTAACCCAATCCTCTACCATCTTTTATCACAGCCTCTCTCTTACAGAAGTAAATTGTCTCAAAAAAAAAAAGTTTGAAGATTTCTACGCCATATTCCACAACACCTATTTCTTAGGCATTTGTGCACTTTAAAGCAATTTTTCAGAATAAAATACTGTATTTTAAAACTGCCCGCAAACTGGAAGCAGCCGAAGCAGCTGTCTTTAGAAAGAGGCCACACTTACCGCATACTATTCTGCTGATTCTTCAACAAAATCTTTTTAGTATCATTTTATCACTTGTCATCCTTTCATGTTGAGTTTTCTCTTTAATTTCTGGTTTACTTAGAATTACTGCCAAAATATAATTAATATATTTAAAGGATATATGCATTTTTTCTTTGCTTTCTCTATATTTTAAATAACAAATGTGATTGTGTTTCCAGTTTCGTAAAAATATGGTATTTATTTTAAACTTCTTCCAGTGAAATGAAGTGTGATAATGTTGTTCCATATTCTCTATTTCACACACACATATCAACACTGAATTTAGGATTTAGTTTCAGACTTCTTGTGTCTATAATGTAATTGCCACTAGTTATCAAGGCCTACCATTTAATTTAATGGAGTGCTGGTCTAGTATTGTAGCCAGAAATCATCAGTCATAAGATAGCTGACAGAATGATAATTTGGAAATGGCAAGAAACAAAGGTGCAGATTTCAACCCTGAAATTTACTAGCAGCATGTGGAACCTGCCCAAAGAATTCAATCTATTTAAACCTCACTTTCCTCACCTACAAATGGAGATGTTAATACTTTTCTTATCAAAAGGATTATATGACACATGTAGGGGCACCTACCAGCATCTGCTGGACATAGGCACACACAAGTGTTTACTGAGTATGAGTTTGGATCCCTTTGTTTTATGAGTTTGTTATAGTTTTGTTGAGGGTTCGTTTGTACAAGTAATAATTTGAAAGAATACAAGAAAGAATACAAAGCCAAATATCTTCTCTTTTTTTTTCTTAGTGCTTTTGGAACTGTGATAATAATCCACTATTCAAATATATGAATAGATGACACAGGATAATAATGGGCTCTCCCCCAGACAGACAGATTTCGGGCTGGCTGAGCTCCTTTCCTAAGCCTGCCCAAGCAGATGCTAGCTAAGGATGGTCCCTTTTCAGATTTAAGGACCTGTAGACTCCCGGCACTTATTTCTCACTTTTATTTTTGTTTTATTTTTTATCACTCCACTAGGACATTTTTTCATTGCTTTTAGAGAGATAGGAAGGGAGAGAAAGAAAAACATTGATGTGAGAGAGGAACACTGATTGGTTGCCCTCTCATAAATGCCCTGACCTGGGATTGATCCCACAACTTGGGTACGTGCCCTGACCAGGAATTGAACCTTTGATCTTTCAATCCATGGAACAACGCTCCAACCAACTGAGCCACACTGGCCAGGGCTATTTCTCATTTTTAATCTCCCACTTAATTTACAGGGATACCTTCTTTTATTACCTATGTTAAATAAAAGATAACAGTTAAACACACTTTTTAAGGGGTCAGGATATTAATTTGTGGTGGAAAAATACTGTAGGCAGCCTAGACACTCACAATTTGGAGAACTGGCTCTACAAATTGTGGCATATCCATATAGAGAAATATTCTCTAAAAAGAATCCCAAGTACTAATCTGCAATGCTTCTGGCATTGCCAGTGAGGAAAAGATAAGCTTTCTATGACAGCTACTTGAGAATTGAGAGTATTGGTCAGGACACCACTTCTCGGGGCCGAGTGTTTTCTTTTGCTCTTGTGAAGAGGGCTGTTTGTGAATATAGGTCAATCTGTCTTGATTATTAGACTCATATACCTTTGTCAGTTTGAGAGCTGCTGTTTTTTTTTTTCCCTTCTACAACCATTGGCACACTGTATTTTATATGCAAACACTGTGAAAGTCCTCAGAGTAGTCTTTTTCTGTTGTGCTCACTTTGAGATAATGACCTGGCCTTAGGATGTCTGATCACTTTTTGCTACTGAGTTTTTCTTCCTTCATAGACCTCAAGATCTTGGAGAGCAGGCACCCTGACCTAGTGCTCAGCACAATTTCCAACATACAATAAGCCTTTAATAAATATTAAGAAACTTTATTTTCCCCTCATGGCAAAAGGAAACAATTGTATTTCCAAGGAGCGTTCACAATTCTTTCTGATCTGGATTGCTCTCTGTCCATGAATCTGGTCCCTTTTGCCTCCACCCATGATTAATAGAGAGCATTCTTCCCTTGCCCTTCCTAATCATGCCAGCCTCATGTTGTGTTCAGAGCTTTGAAGAATCTGACTTGAGTAAGTAGAGAGTTTAAGGAGGTGGCATTTGAAAGGGGAACAGCCAGTTCCCCAGAGAGTTTCATTGATCCCAGCACATTGGCCTTGCAAGCTTGCTCCTCCTGGCTCCAGGGGAGGGGTGACATGCGTGCCTGTGTCCCACCCTCCCTGTCATCAGGTTACCTGTAATGTAAGACTTCCAGAATAAGGCTGCCAGCTCTGCAGAAATCTAATGCAAGCCAGCCCATTACGTGGCTTTCTGGAATCTTGGGACTCTTAAGGATAGCTCATCAAAGGACATGATGTACAGACACACTTTTCAATGGTGAACATGATTTATCAGCTTCCTTTCACAAAGGAAACACTTCTCTCCTAAGAATTGGAGCCTTTAATTGGAGCTTGAGCTGGACTTATAATTGAGGGGCTGCTAGATTTTACTGGTGAAGGACAGGAGAGAAGTGAGTTGAACTGGGTCCTGCCAGTGATACATCTGTTAATCACAACAAGGTTCTTTTCACTTCTTGCTGTAGCTGTCCTGTAAATCTCCCAACATACATTTAGAAGTGCCTTTTTGTCCCCCTTCTGTGATGAAGGAAGTAGTAAGTTTGAGCATATTCACCTGTTCCCTATGCTGTTTTTTTGTTCATAATATTAAGGAAGAATGTTGTAAATACAGTACTTGGAGACTCTTAGTTATGGTTCATGTTACTTAACAATGTAGCTCTTGACTTTGGATTTACAAATGAATTTCCTTTGTAAGACGTGCTGCAGAGGTGTTGTCCA